AAACAGTACGTCCTGGGAAATGATCTTCCTGGGAATGATACATTCCAGAAAATAATTTTCGGAGAAATTTAATTCCGGGAAATGACTTGCTATCAGAAAAGAAAACCGTGACACTATGTAGGATACCATGAAGGCATTGCTGGAAATACCAGAGCTGAAAATTAAGCTAAACGAAGAACAACTTAAGATATTATGGACATCCAAATAACATGAAAAGATGTATTGTGCAACCCTAAGAATATAACTCGACTGCAATGGGAAAATGAATGGTCTTCTTCTTCTTGTTCGCATTTCAAGCTTATTGCTTAGCGCATATTAGCTTATTACGTGCTCTCAACTTAGTGTTCTAAATGCACTTTCCACAGTTATTAATTGAGAGCTTTCGATGCCAATACCAATGCATGAATTTGTATAATTGTGTGGCAAGCACCATTATACCATAGAGGTAACTCTAAGACCACTGGGTCCCGAAGAAAATCATTATTTTTTTTTGGCTCACTCAGTACCAGAACAACGGTCCCAAGCAGTCCCAAGCTATTTCACTCACCCCTGCATGTTCTGCATGAATCCACACACCCCTGATGTTATCTGTCAAACTTTCATAGCGAATCAAAACAAACATAGTGTAGTAATAGAATTTCAACTAGAATAGGGTAAGTTAATCGTTTGCTTGGGACCAATAGGCTACTAAAGTGGTGAGCCAATTTAAAATCGTTAGTTTCGTATTGATTGTTGATTATACTCTATCCCCAGGGAAGTCGAGAAAATTTCCAACCCGAAAAATTCCCTCGACCGGACCGGAAATCGAACCCGCCGCCTCCGGCTTGGTAATATCGTGCCTTTACTGACTAGGCTATGAGGCCCCCTAAACGAATGGTACAGAATTTAAAATTTCCACAAATCCACGAAAAATGAACACTTCCTGGGCTGGACCGTTACTTAGTCACAGAAGAAAGAGCTTTTCCAGGCTTAGGATAGGACACATAAACATTATTATTATTATTATTATTATTATTATTATTATTATTATTATTATTATTATTATTATTATTGTTATTATTATTATTATTATTATTATTATTATTATTATTATAGTCAATTCAACACTATTGGGCCATTCAAGACTTGTCCGACGATGAGAACTAGTGACTTTGGCGTGAAAGGTATCGATGTTAATTACCAAACCGGGGTCGTCCCCACATAAACATATTTTTTGCAATTGTGCACGGTCCATACAAATTTTAAAAATTTTGTATGGAAAATTGTCTACGCAGGGGAAGGGAGGGGGTCAAGAATCCCAAAAAAAAAACTGTCTAGGTAGTTAATGAACAGCCCCTTAATGGCTCAAGGGAGTTTCCCATCTTTGAAAATATAACAATAGGAAATAATTAATTCTTTGGATATACGATAAAGAAGGGAATATTCCCTTCTTTTAATATATAAAAGAGAAAATAATCAATTCGTTAAATATATGATAAAGAAGGGAATATTCCCTTCTTTGAAAATATAACAAAAGGAAATAATTAATTATTGGATGAACGATGAAGAAGGGAATATTCCTTTCTTTGAATATATAAAAAGAAAATAATCTATTCTTTGGATGTATGATAAAGAAGGGAAGGGAATATTCCCTTCTTTTAATATATAAGGACATATATAAGGACACTTCCTGGGCTGGACCGTTACTTAGTCACAGAAGAAAGAGCTTTTCCAGGCTTAGGATAGGACACATAAACATTATTATTATTATTATTATTATTATTATTATTATTATTATTATTATTATTATTATTATTATTGTTATTATTATTATTATTATTATTATTATTATTATTATTATTATAGTCAATTCAACACTATTGGGCCATTCAAGACTTGTCCGACGATGAGAACTAGTGACTTTGGCGTGAAAGGTATCGATGTTAATTACCAAACCGGGGTCGTCCCCACATAAACATATTTTTTGCAATTGTGCACGGTCCATACAAATTTTAAAAATTTTGTATGGAAAATTGTCTACGCAGGGGAAGGGAGGGGGTCAAGAATCCCAAAAAAAAAACTGTCTAGGTAGTTAATGAACAGCCCCTTAATGGCTCAAGGGAGTTTCCCATCTTTGAAAATATAACAATAGGAAATAATTAATTCTTTGGATATACGATAAAGAAGGGAATATTCCCTTCTTTTAATATATAAAAGAGAAAATAATCAATTCGTTAAATATATGATAAAGAAGGGAATATTCCCTTCTTTGAAAATATAACAAAAGGAAATAATTAATTATTGGATGAACGATGAAGAAGGGAATATTCCTTTCTTTGAATATATAAAAAGAAAATAATCTATTCTTTGGATGTATGATAAAGAAGGGAAGGGAATATTCCCTTCTTTTAATATATAAGGAAAATATGTAATCAATAGCTTTTGGCAAGGGATTCGGGGTAATGACCATTTGGGATAATAACGTGTGGAATAATGTTATAAATTTGTAATCGATAGTTCAACGTTCCATGCACCGATTTTTCAATCCATAACGAGAAATTCTTCAACTCAGGTCTAGACTCAGGTCGAACAATTCTTTGATAAGGTTTAACAGTTTCCGACTGGTATTGCATATTGAATTGGATTGCATATTAGACCCTTTGACTTTTTAAATGGTGAACGAAGTGCTCGAAAACTTGAAGGTTGTCATTTTCTAAAGAGCTTTAAAATGGTTTGGAATTGATAAATACATAGTTCCATAAAAGTAAACGTAGTGTATCATCAATTTAGTAAAGTGAAACTAATCAGAGAGTTTAATCATAGACAACAGACATAACACTTTGAAAAAGTTTTTCTTGAAAACATAGTATCTCAAAACATAGGACCTCAGTAACGACATCTCTCGGGCTTCTCGCGTAAAACAAGCTTGCTCGCTTGCAAGCTTCAAAATTCCAATAAAAAATTATCATTTAATAATATAAATATATACAAATATATATATAAATTCCAAAACGAAATTTCCTTCTAAAAATGTACCCTTCTTTTGACCCCTTGCTGTTCTTTCATTTGTCTTAATTTCGGGGTAATGGCCATTCGGGGTAGTAGGGCATTCGGGGTAATGGCCATTCGGGGTAGTAGGACATTCGGGGTAATGGCGTTCGGGGTTATGGCGTTCGGGGTAGTGACATTCGGGGTAGTGTCACAGAATCAGTTAGAACACCGACGAAGTTAAAATTAAAGATAAAAAACCAGCTATATCACCTTCTTAAGAAAAACTATTCAAGAACTTAATTATGATGTATTATTAATCCCCCGGCCTTTTAGAGGTTTGAGCCTATCAAATAAACAATCTAGAAAAAACTGCAACGCTCACTTTTAAAATAAACATAAAATCTGAATTTGTTCACCTGAATCTGAAACATCATACTAATTTATCTTGAATTAATTTTCATTGATGAATTCGTTTTCATTAAAATATATCAAACAATTGAGGGGGTTAGAAGAAAGTGGGTGTAAGTGACTTTGATCGATCCTGTTCATCGATTTTCTCTTTTGATAGCCACAGCTTTATAAACAGATTTTGCGCTATTTCTACCACATAGTTTGATAAAGGAGGTTCTCATTTAGCATCCAGAATGGCACACGAATCAAGAAATGTGTTTGCAGCTAAATTATTAACGAAAGAGAAAGTCGATGAAGAGAATCGATCAACGTCACTTACATCCCTTTCCTGCTAACCCCCTCAATTGTCTACGGTCCATACAAATTTCCAAAAATTGTATGGACGATTGTCTACGTGGGGGAGGGGGGGGGGTGTCTATAACCTCTAAAAACCGGTCTACGTAGTTTATGAACAGCCCCTTCGTAGAACATAGTGAAGGTAGCACCAATGCTACCGACGCCAGGGAGGCAGCTCCCACACCTGGACCAACAGCTTTACTTCCCTTCCGAAGGAAGACGTGATCAGAGATGTTATGCCTCAGAACATCCCGGCGGCGCCGACTGGGATTGAACCCTTGCTTACCACTCACCACCGGTGCCGCTCCCTCTCGATTTAGGTTAAATATACGATTTTCATGTCTTTAGCAAAGTTGTTTGTAACAATTTTTGCTATAAATTTGCTGAAGACATTGTGAAAAAATAATTTTTTAATCTCACTTTTATGGGGATTTATCACAAAATTCATATCTTCCAAAGATGCAGCATGCCATACCCATCAACTTTGCTGAAGGCGTCATTACTCTAAATCTACTCTCCACGGTGCTGTTAATTAAGAGCATCAAAATGGACTTTTAAACCACTGTGGCGTAGTGGTCAACGTACATACCTCTCGAGCCATAATCACGAGTTCAAATCTCATTCCGGATAAGTGACTAATGATCCAAGAGTGTTAAAGTGAAGATAACAAAAAAAAATCCCGGTTGCTTTCGATTTCCTGTTAATTCCAGATTCTCCCGATTTTCTCGGTTCAGTGACCACCCTGAGTTTGGGTACTTTTTTGAACATCCGAGTACTAATTGGCAAAGTTTAAAATGATGCTCATTCTTTCAGAATTTTGCTTGGGTTTTGTTAGAGGTAACCCCACTGTTCGAAAGTGCATGAACAGGTTAGTCCGTTCCGCTGCACTTCAATAAAAATAAAAAGTATTCATGATGCAATCAGCCGCCATGAGTGAGCAACGACTAATAATTTAAAAGCACATAGGGTAAGTGTGCCAATTTTGACAATAGTTGTTTTACCCCTAGGGCCTAAATATAATTTGAAATATTTATTTACGATTTTATCTGCGAAGATATATGTATGGCACAATATATGTTCTAACCTAGCAAAAAACTGGCACAATTACCCTTTTGTTAAGAGACAATTTCAAAAGCCTTATTCACACTATAGGTATCCAAACAATAATCCAAGCCTGCAAACCAAACTATGCTGTAAAACAAACAGTTATTCATCGGTTATGACTAAACAATCTCTAGATATCTCACTCAAATAACCAAACACTTAAAACAAGATACTTTTACCGATACTGGTTTTAGAGCCGCTCTGTTTCAACACAGTGCCCATTCCGGATGGACCTGGCATTGGCCCTTCCAATTCCGACGCGGTTGCATCTGTATATTCGGTTTTTATGCCGCCACGCCTACTATTGTCTGCTGGGATCCATTTCGCTGGTGATTCCGTTATTTCAACGCAAAATCCTTTACTGCACTCGGGGCATTGCAAATCTGAAATGGTTGCATATTAATTTGTTGATTAGTGTTGTATGTCTGTGGACTTTTGGCCAGGATAAAGGTCAGGTTTCATCGATAAATCTCTAACATTATAGTGGATTTACATATTTGAAACATCTAATTAGGAATACTAAATGGCGAACCCACAACTTGGGACGAGCGTCTAACATAGTTCCGATTAAAATTTATTCAAAAAAAGATAATCTACAATCTAATCAACCATGATTAAACTGGGATTAATATCAGATGCTTATTTTTTAGAAAGAGAGGATGAATTTTTAATCATTCGATATGATTAAACTGATTAAACTGGTTAAACTTGATTAAATTTCAAGCAAAATGGGAATAGTTCATTTTATCAGTGTAGTGAGTATATGAGATATTCTCAAATTTGAGTCAATTCAACTTAATTTTGGGTAGAAAATACTCACGAGTAAGTTATTATTTTTCTTCTTCTTATTAGCATTTCAAGCTTATTGCTTAGTGCATATTGCGTGCTCTCAACTTAGTGTTCTAAATGCACTTCCTATGTTATATTGAGAGTTTTCGATGCCAATTACCAATGCATGAATTTGTATATAGTGTGGCAGTGCTTGATATGATACTCTATCCCAGGGAAGTCGAGAAAATTTCCAACCCGAAAGATTCTCTCGACCGGACCGGGAATCGAACCCGCCGCCTCCGGCTTGGTAATACCGTGCCTTTACTGACTAGGCTATGAGGCCCCATTAGAAGTTATTATTTTTGCCGTAGATAAATTAAATCAAAATAGCTTAAAAAGTATTCAGATTCCCGCTTCACCTTATTGAGTCCGAGCCATGATTACTTCGGCAGTAGTCATGCATGATTAAATTCGAATTAATTTTTCCAGTATTAAATTTTATTCTTTTTGAATATTAATTTACAGGGTGTTTGGTTCCGGGTTTTACATATTTTCAGGGTAGATAGGGCTCCTAAAGTTATGAAAAAATCCCCATGAAACATAGGGTCGGAAATTACTGCTAAGTGAGTTATTCAACATTTTATGTTTTTTTGTATTGCCAACTTTGGTTAGCTATATTTTTTTAATCTTAACTGTGATGATAATTTAGTGCCTCAAATCGCAATAGTGCCCGAGATTAACTCCCTAGAAAACTCGAAGTGGCAGTGAAAGTGCCTGTGGACGCTGGATCGTATCACCTTAAGAACTCAGTATGTTCCATTTCCAGGTTGGAAATTTTCTCAACTTCCCTGGGCATTGAGCATCACTGTGCTTGTAATAATACAGATTCATACATTGGTTGGCATAGAAAGCTTTCAATTAATTACTGTGACTGAGTTCTTAAGGCATACTGAGTTCTTAAGGTGGTATGGTTAAGCATCCACAAATCCACTGCAACAGCCGAACGTACGAACGAATAGGGTGACTATAGCGCATTTTATGAAAACGTCACAAGTTTTGATGGCTGTTTTAAATCAATAATTACGAAAAAACCATAAAGCCTACAAGGTTACTACCAAACGCACAAATCTAGGGAACTGTATGGAAAATGTTTTGTAGAACAACTAAAAAAACAGAAATGAAAATTTTCAACTTAAAAACACTAAAATGTATGAAATTTCACCATTTTTTTTTGGTACTTTCAACATACTTTTCAATTTTAATGTATGATAATTTACTTTAATCGAGTTCTTTTTCAAAGAGCATTGATAGCTAAGACTTTAATTTGGTATGTTGAAATCAGAAAACCACATTAAGATTAAAAAAATATAGCTAACCAAAGTTGGCAATACAAAAAAACATAAAATGTTGAATAACTCACTTAGCAGTCCTTTCCGACCCTATGTTTCATGGGGATTTTTTCATAACTTTAGGAGCCCTATCTACCCTGAAAATATGTAAAACCCGGAACCAAACACCCTGTATAATCAAAAAAAAAATAAAATTCAATCAAAATTTTTTTAAATAGAACCAAAAATGATTAAAATTTATTCAAAAGAGATAATTTTCAATCTAATCAACCATGATTAAACTTGGTTTAATATCAGATGATTATTTTTTAGAAAGAGATGTTATAATTTTTAATTATTCGATATGATTAAACTGAGTTTAATGTCAAATTGGTTAAATTTCAAGCCAAATAGGAATAGATTAATTTATCAGTGTAAAGCGGTTTACTGAAAATTAGCCTATTGAACGGAACATGGGAGATGAGTGAAAAGAACCCTCGGTGTCACTTTGTATGGGAGCGAGCTGTCGGTTTGTCAGTTTAGTGTCTGTAGCGTACCGCGATTCAATTAAAATGAGTAACGTACTCGGTAAATGGGCTGAACCCATTCGACATACGATCATCAATCGTTCGAGTTTTTTACACACAAACAAACAGTATTGTACATATAAAAAGGGATTAAACTCAGAAGCAACTGATAGTTGTGTTCTGGAAGTGTAAGCCGAATTTCCATCTTTACATTTAACAAACAAAAGAAAGAAGTCTTATCTTAAGTTTAGCCAAATACTTTATAACTGGCGACGAGGAAAAAGTGTTTAGTCTCAGACGGATTTTTCTGTTGCAGGGAATTTTTAGAAGAAACCGAGTTTCTACCTATTGCAGAGTTTTTGTGAAGAGTGCAGTGAGCTTGAGAAAACTTGAGCAGAGAAAAGACTGTGTGCTTGTCATCTGTTATGCGTTTTCACCTCGTTGAGCTAAAAACGCATTGAACAGATTAGAGTCACGGTTGAAAAGAACGGTTAATAGTGTTGCACGCGTTGTATATGGTGCGAAAACCGGCAGGAACAGTTCATATTGAAGTTGTGAAAAGTGCCATTTTGAACGTTTTTCTGATTGGTTTTGACCATTTTATTTATCTATAGATTGAAGAACTTTTTATTCTCTTACGGACATTGTTGCTGGTTCCATTGTGCCATCTCAAATTCTCCGGAGTATCCGAGAGAAAAGTGTGAGAAAATATCAACTGTAAACAGTGAGAACGATTGAGTCAAGTGGTAAAGCTGAGAGTGAGTTCCATTGCGACAAGAGACAAACTGAGAGACAGTGAGCAAGTGAGTTGTGAGAAGAGAAAGGCTGTCTGCTGTGTCTCACTCACAAACGTAAACATTGTGAGTATACAACTGCATTCGTTCTGTTGTGTATTTCAGCGTCAGTAAGGCAAAAGTGCATCAAGTAAGTCATTTTTTATTTTTATTTTCTGCTTGCTATAGCACCTATACTATGCCATCGTTTGGTACATTAGACCATTACGTGAAGGGTACGTCCTTCACTAACTACATGGAGCGACTGGAACATCTCAGTTCTTTTAACGGCTGGAATGAAGAAAATAAAAAAATCAGTTTTGATTGCCCTTACTGGGGTGGTGTATGAGGAATTGAAGCTCATGTTTCCTACGGTGGAACTTAAAACATTAAATTATGATGATATGGTAAAAAAGTTAAAGGAACGGTTCGACAAAGTAGACCCTGATATGATGCAAAGGTTTTATTTCTATAATCGTTTTCAAAGAGTAGATGAATCTGCTGAGAGCTTCATTTTGTCAGTGAAGCTGCAGGCAGAGTTGTGCAATTTTCTACAATTCAAAGAGACTGCAATCAGGGATCGTTTAATTATGGGGATGCATGATCGAGAGCTGCAAAAATCTTTATTGATGTCAGAGACACTGACACTTGAGGTGATTGAGAAGAAATTACTCAGCAGTGAGGTGGCTAACAAGCAAACAAAGGCTATGACTAGTGAGCGTAGAACTGACGAAGTGCATTCAGTAAAGAGTAGACTAGGGAAAAAAGTTGATGAGAGTAACCGAGACTATGGTAGGTACGACAAACCATACAGAGGTAGGGATCTTAACAGGAATGATAAGAAAGTTAGTTTCCGTGGAAGATCGCCATCTGGTAACAAGAACAGGGGTGCTTACGCAAATGCAATTTGCAATTATTGCAAGAAGAGAGGTCATCTGAGAAGAGACTGCTACAGCTTCAAGAACCGAAATTCTGTGAGATATTTAGGTGATAAGGATGAAAAGGACACGAGTTACGATTTCAAGAGGTCTGGTGGACATGATAGTTCAGGTGAAGAAACGGACGGAATGGAGTGCATGATGATCTCAGCGGTTAAAAGCATAAATGAACCATGCATGATAAAAGCAAATGTGCAGAATTGTGTGTTGCAAATGGAAATTGATTCAGGTTCAGCTGTTTCAGTAATCAGTGAGACTGATTGTAGGAAATTTTTCCATAGAATTCCAATGGCTAACACTAGTAGGCACCTTGTTGTTGTTGATGGTGCTCGTTTGAAGGTTCTAGGAGAAATTTCTGTGCAGGTAAAGTTGAATGGTCTAGCAAACCAAGAAAAACTTGTCGTACTGCAAGGAAATAGCAATTTTGTTCCTTTGATTGGGAGATCATGGCTTGATCGTTTCTTCCCTGGATGGAGATCTGGGTTCACGAATGCGTTGTTGGTGAATAATCTGAACGAGACAAATGGTATTAATGGCATTATAGACAGTTTAAAACTGAAATTTAAGAAAATTTTTGACAAAGATTTTTCAGAACCTATCGTAGGCTATGAGGGGGAACTGATCATGAAGAACGATCAGCCTGTCTTCAAAAAGGCGTATACAGTACCGTACAAATTGAAGGAGAAGCTTGTACAACATTTGCTGATGCTGGAGCAACAGAAGGTAATAACACCCATAAAGGCTAGTGAATGGGCATCGCCTGTGATAGTGGTAGTTAAAAAAGATCAAGACATTCGTATGGTGATAGATTGTAAAGTATCTATAAATAAAGCAATTATACCTAACACGTATCCACTACCACTAGCACAGGATATATTTGCATCTCTAGCAGGCTGTAGGGTATTCTGTTGTCTAGATTTGGCTGGGGCGTATACGCAAGTTCCTCTGTCTGAGCGGTCCAAAAAAATCGCTGTCATTAACACAATGAAAGGATTATTTACTTACAATCGACTTCCACAAGGTGCTTCTAGTTCTGCAGCAATCTTTCAACAAATTATGGACCAGGTCCTGCATGGACTGGAGTATGTTAGCTGTTATCTGGACGATGTCCTTATTGCTGGAGAAACTTTAGAAAAGTGTGCCAAAACTTTAGATTTGGTTTTTGACCGACTATCACAAGCAAATGTCAAAGTTAACTTCAAGAAATGCAAGTTTTTCGTAACAAAGCTACCTTATTTAGGACATCTTATTACTGACAAGGGACTTCAACCATCTCCTGAAAAAGTTTCAACGATTAGTCAAGCCAAAGCACCTGCAAATACTACAGAACTAAGAGCATTTCTTGGTTTGATAAATTTTTACAATAAATTTGTTCCTAATCTTTCCCTCAAGCTAAGGAGTTTGTACGCTCTGCTAGCTAATGATGCAACATTCGTTTGGACTAATGAATGCGAGGAAGCTTTTCAGTTCAGCAAGAATGCCTTGTTGAATGCAGAATTGCTTGAATACTACGATCCAAACAAACCGCTCATAGTAGTCTCGGATGCAAGTTCTTACGGATTAGGAGGTGTTTTAGCCCATGAGGTCAATGGATTAGAAAGATCCATATGTTTTACATCGTTTTCGCTGAATCCAGCTCAAAAACGATACCCTATACTTCATTTAGAAGCATTGGCGTTAGTTTGCACCGTGAAGAAATTTCACAAATTTCTTTTTGGCCAAAAGTTTAAGGTATATACTGACCATAAACCTTTGGTAGGTATATTCGGCAAATCCGGTAATAATTCGTTATATGTGACTAGAATCCAAAGGTACACTATGGAATTGTCGATCTACGACTTTGAGATTGCGTACAGACCATCAAAACACATGGGAAACGCTGATTTCTGTTCGCGGTTTCCGCTGGAGCAATCGGTTCCGAAAAACCTGGACATAGGGTATATAAACAGTTTAAACTTTTCCGAAGGAGTGCCTCTAGATTATACTTTGATTGCTAGAGAATCTCGTAAAGATTCTTGTTTGGCAGAAGTAATGCGGTTTATTGGAGATGAGTGGCCTACCAACGTTAAAAGCTCATTGAAGGATTTGTTTTCGCTGCGGACGGACCTTGAAGTGGTTCAGGACTGCCTTCTCTATCAAGAGAGAGTAATCATACCAATAACATTGAGAGAAAAGATACTCAAATTGCTGCATGCTAACCACATTGGCATCGTGAAGATGAAACAGCTAGCGCGTCAAACGGTTTTTTGGCCAGGAATAAGCAACGATATTGAAAACTTCGTAAAGACGTGTGAGGCATGCATCAAGATGGGTACAGTTCCTGCAAAACCCAATCATAACAAGTGGATACCAACTTCGAGGCCTTTCAGCCGCTTACATGCTGATTTCTTCCATTTTGAAGGGAAAACTTTTCTACTCATCGTAGATAGTCACTCGAAGTGGGTGGAAGTAGAGGTCATGTTACATGGAACAGACGCAAAACGAGTAATTATTTCGCTAGTTACTCTATTTGCTAGGTTCGGCCTTCCTGATGTGATGGTTACAGATGGAGGTCCACCTTTTAACTCGAAGGAATTCTCTTTGTTCTTGGAGAAACATGGAGTGAAGGTAATGAAAAGCCCTCCTTACAATCCAAGCAGCAACGGTCAAGCGGAACGTCTAGTCAGGGTAGTCAAGGATGTTTTCAAAAAGTACCTTCTTGATCCAGAACTACGGCAGCTGGATTTAACACGTAAAATCAACTACTTTTTGATTAATTATCGCAATCAAATTGCCACAAAAGAAGGAGTCCCACCTGCACATAAAGTGTTATCCTATAGACCCAAAATTCTACTTGACTTAATTCATCCTAACAAACAATACAAACAATTTTTAAGAAAACCTGACACGCACGATATCCCTGTAGTAACTCCACCTAAACCTGATCCATTTTTAAAGCTGGTGGTAGGGGATACCATTTACTATAAAAATTTTAAGAAAACTGATCCCCAGAGATGGATTGAGGCGAGATTTGTTAGACAAATTTCTAAAAATATTTTTCAAATCTCCCTTCACAGTTCGACGATTATGGCCCACCGGAACCAATTGAAGTTGGCCCATACAAAGGTCCGGGATTCGAAACTGTCGCTGCCAGACTTCACCCAACGGAAGCGTGGTAGAACGGAGCCGGACAAGATACAATTCCGAGGCTGGTCAGAGGCTGAAAAAGGGCCATTCCTGGGTTTCTCGGAAGATGATTTGGATCCAGATTCATTCAGAATCAAAAGACGCAATCTGAGCGATAGCCTAGTCATGACTAGGAGTCGCGCTCGAAATCAAATTTAAGCAGAAGCATCGTAATCCGACTAGTTTCAGAGTCATCTAACAGTAAAGCACAAAGTGCTATCGAAGATTATGAATTAATTGTTGTTGAATTGAAATGTATTTCGTGTACTTAAAAAGAACTTTTGAATTAGATTAATTTCGATAACTAATTATACTAGCTAGGTTCTTAAGGAGGAAGGACTGTAGCGTACCGCGATTCAATTAAAATGAGTAACGTACTCGGTAAATGGGCTGAACCCATTCGACATACGATCATCAATCGTTCGGGTTTTTTACACACAAACAAACAGTATTGTACATATAAAAAGGGATTAAACTCAGAAGCAACTGATAGTTGTGTTCTGGAAGTGTAAGCCGAATTTCCATCTTTACATTTAACAAACAAAAGAAAGAAGTCTTATCTTAAGTTTAGCCAAATACTTTATAGTGTCAAACAGTGAAGTTATTATTTTTGATTTAAAAATCGAGATGAAAGTGTGTGGGTTCGAAAAAAATCGCTGTGCACGCTCTTTCAGATGATATATAAAAACCGATATATTTTTCAAAATTAAAGAACCCAATTGGAGAGTTTGATAAGGTATGTCCACGCATCAATCAATTTCCAGGATGCTTTTTCGAACTAGCTGCGCTTGTGTTCGATTAGATTAGATTAGAGCACGGTCTTGCGGTTACTAGAGTATTAAGTAATCTAGATTATATTTAGAATCATCTCTGAAAAATCCACGGCCATCAGATCTAACCAGATAAGCCAATGCAACAAAACACGAATTTTCAATTCAAACGTGAAATTTGTATTGTTATACGCCAGCGACACTCAAAAGCTACAGGTCTTTATCAACCGATGTCTGCAGGATATAATTCGTGCCTGGTGGCCTCACAACTGGGCCTCAAATGCTAAGCTCTATCGTCGATGTCATCAGAAACCGATATCAACAGAAATTCGAGAACATAAATAGAGGTGGGTAACCGGAATCTGCAAGCAAGCACTGGATTGAAACCCGGCAGGACATCGCAGCAGAGGCAGACCGAGGGGCTCATGGCGGGGGAGCCTCAACAAGGAAATAAAGGAAGTCGACAGGAATCTGATCTTGACCCAGCCGCCCAGGATAGAATCTTTCACGTTGGCCCTATGCATCACTTGAAGTAAGTAAGTTACTCTTGTGCTGAGAAATTTCTTCATACGAATGAGTAAAATTGACTCACTCTTTGAGTTAGTTTCGTTGTCAGTGTCTACTGTCTACACGGAGAAAAAATACTACCCAAAATTTGAGTTCTTTTTACTTAATTTTGGCTTCAGCCTCTCACTTGCACTCGTTATTGTTGTCAAAAAAGGAACGAGAGATTCGACCCAACGATATAGTTCAGCCCAATAAGTTACTTTTGAGTAAATTGCATATTCTCAAATTTACGTGAATTAAACTCAATTTTGGGTAGAATATACAGTGTAGGTAATTTTTTTGCTGGTGTTAAATGAAAACTACTATATGCGATATACTCAAATTTGGGTTATTGGGCTGAACCCCGGAATTGAGGGAAAAGTACTTAATTTTGGGTAGTTTTTCATTTCCGTGTAAACTAAAATTATCGAATCCATCAAAAAATGTTTTTGTTTAAAAGCAATAAAATTTTGTTTTTCAAAAGTTCCTCAGTTGAATTCTCAAGAATACATATAGACGAAAATAATGAGCACATTTAACTAAGTGCTGACTATTTAATGGTAGTTTCACATACATGAGACGGACCGAAAAGTTGTGGACCATGGGAAGGAGCGGGCTATACTCTTTCTCGAAACCCTTGCTCTTTTTCAGTGGTTTTATTGCGCAAACTTCAAAAAGTAGGGAGTGTTGGTTTAAATTGCTCGAATGATGTGATTAATTGACCACTTTGTCAAGCAGTTTTGGCGTGACTTACTACCAGCGATTTCACAAAAAAGGACCAATTCTATTTTTTATGAAACGCACAAATGTTGGCTACTTTTCTCGTGGTTCTAGAAGAAAAAATCTCAAAATAATGTTTTATTTCAAAGTTCGAGTGGTAGTAAACGTCATTTTAACTGCTCGAATGAAGTGGTTAATTGATAAAGGTTACATAAATGTATATACTTACTATCAATGGTTTTGGAGAAAGTCACTTCCCTAGAAAACCTTGCCTTGCAAACTACACAATCAAACAGCTTTTGGTTCATCTCCGACAGTGGCCGTTTGGAGAGAATACCACGCAAGAACTGCTCCAACTCCTGACAGCTTTGTTCATCTATTTCGTAGGTCCGCGTTTTCTTGTCCTTTTTGATAGTATCGAACAACAGGGTGATACTAGAAGATGTCGGGCGCTCGCAAGCCTCGAGTGTTGTGATGCCCCATCGCGTTTTGGTTCTATAAAAAAGTTTAGTTTTTTGTATCTCATTGATCATTGCATTGTGGTTTATTGTTTACTGTTTATTGTTTGTTGTTGTTTTACATCAACAGGCGGATTAAGCCCTAATGATGTTAACCTTATCAACTATAGTAAAAGAAAATACATTCAAGCATGATCTTAACATAAAAAAAAACATTTAAAAAACATATATCTTATAGTCAGTTACTCCTGCCGGCGAAAAACAGAAGAAAACTTTCGACGAAGTGCATCACGGGAGAAGTCGAAAACAGATGCAACTCTGTCGAATACTCTCTGCAGTTCGCAAATCGCACCGTATGCTCCATAATTTGTGCGACGTAGAGGCAGTCTTAGCATAAGGTTATTACGAAGCGGTCGGGGGTGAATTTGCCTCAGGATAGCCTCACAATCTGTGCTTCCTCGCAGGATATCTGCCACGGTTAGGGCTCTGCTTGTGTCTCTTCTAGTCCGGAGAAGTTCTAGGTTCTAGTTCGATATGTTGACAACGACTTTCGTAACTTGGTAATCGAAACGGATCATTCCAAGGCAATCTACGCAATGCAAAACGAAGAAAGCGACGTTGAACAGATTCAATTCTCTCGGCACCGTTGTTGTAGTTTAGGTTCCAAACCGCTGAACAATACTCAAGCGTCGATCGAACAAGCGTACAATAAAGAGATTTTAGACTGAAGTTTTTAGCTATCCTAAAAATGAACACTAAAGTTCTTGACGCTTTATCGACAGTATATGCAATGTGTTGCTTGAATGATAGCTGCGAATCCAAGATCACACCCAAGTCTTTCACGTGAATCACGCGTTCGATTGTCTAGCAAAGCAGGTCATAGCTAAATTTTTTTTTTTTCTTTATTAAAGAGACTTTCAGCCTTGGGCTGGTTCGTCTCTGGGAATCCCAGATGGGGAATCCCCTATTTGAGGGGGGTGGGAATTCCAGAGGGAAATTACCCTAACAACATAGTTTGGATCCCAGAGGGGATTTCCGAAAAAGGGCGTGGGGCCCCAGAAACAGAGTTTTTAGCTACGGAGTTTTTAATTTGGTGGCCCTGGAAGGGAACCTCCGAGGGTGGGGCTCCGAAAGGGGTCCCTTAGTTGCTTAGTGGCTGTCTTAATACTGTCATTTTGTTGGAGAATACCGTTTTCGTTGCGTTAGTCTGTATAGTTGCTGATGTGGGTGGTTAGTTGTGAGATTCAGGTTCCGAGTGTGATCTGTTATGGTGGTGATGATGATGATGGTGAGTTAGATGATCAGATTAGATCGAACAGCTCAGCTTCCCGCAGGAAATGTAGAAGGGCTGTAATTCTGGTAGGATCGTTACCGAGGGCATCGCTGATGCTTCCCGGAATGTCGTAGCGGGTTCTTGGTGCTTCGTATTTCGGACAGTGGCAGATAATGTGATCCACCGTTTGTGGAATTCGGCATAGATCACAAATCCTATGGAAAGGTCCGTCTCCTTTGTAGTTGTGGGAGATGTTTGTATGATGTGTTCGAAGTCGGGATACTATGATCTGTTCTCGATGTATCGGTGGGTCCGCCCACCTGGAGATGTCTCTTTTAATTTTTCTGATGGCAGGGGTTTCACTGGCCGCCCAATCGCGAGCCCAACCTTCGTTGGTGATTTTTTATACCCATTTTTTGAGGTCCGGACAGGTACAATTCGCGTGTACTTGGCCATACAACGACCTGAGTTGGCTAGTTGGTCCGCTTTTACGTTACCATGGACCCCGCAGTGTCCAGGTTAGACTGTGTTGTTGGGCGCGTGTTCCTGTATAGCCTGGATCCAAGGGTGTTTGCTCGTATCGGATTCCAGTGCGGCTTCCACACTAGCGGAGTCGGTGATAATGGCTATTGGTCGGTCGTCGGGAATGGTGGCTGAAATGAAGGCGGCAATGGCTTCCGCAGAGAAAATGGAGCACTGATCCGGGAGCCTATGGCATTCCGCGAGGTTTGGACCGAAAATCCCGATTCCTACCTTTCCCTGGGCTACCGAGCCATCCGAGTACCGAAAGGTGTATCCTCCGTATTTCCGGTTCTGGAGTTCGAGTACCGCTTGTGCCACCGCTGATGGATTGGCACCAGCTCTGAATTGGTGTTTGATTGGGGGTCGGTCAGAATCTTCGGCTTGTTCCAACCCCTCGCTCCGACCCAGTAAACCTTGGATATTGGGGGGAGAGTCGGGTTGGATGCTTCCCTGAGTGAATTGTTCGCCTCCGTGAGGAGGGAATCTTCCTTGTCGTCTCCTGATGTCTGCTGGTAAAGTCCGATGGTTCGTTGGCAGATAGTTTTGAGCGATCAAAGGGGAGCAGTCCTCCTTCGATGCAAGCAGCTATTCCGGGGGTACCTGGCAATAGACCCGAACAGATGCGGAAAGATTGTTGATAGACCGGCGCTAACTTCTCGATCAATCGGGACTTGGCAAGGAACGTAGCTTCGATTCCGTAGGTTAGGCGTGAGTTGATGATGGCTTTCGCCCCGTTCAGTCGGGATCTTCGATTGGCATTTGGATGTCGTCCCGCTAGAGTTTTGAGCAGGTTCATACGCTGTTTGCATCCGTTTTTGACATCGTTGAAGTGTGTGTCGAAGGGGAGATGTCGGTCAAAGCAGACCCCGAGGATTCGGATCGTTTTCCGAAACGGAATTGGGTCTTCTTTTATGCAGACTTTGGTGCTGAGGACTTGGTGTTTTATCGGACAGATGTGGGTGAATCCGCTCTTAGTAGAAGCCGGCCGACGAGGTCCATGCCGATACGTAGGTGATGGCCTGAATAAGCTTTCTTCGCAGTGCCTTCACCGTTTTCTTGACAGCCATTAGGACGATGTCGTGAAGATTCCAACTGGTAACCGCCTGAAGACATCGTTCATCCGAATAAGGAAAAGGGTAACGGCGATCACGGAACCCTGTGGTACCCCGTTTCCTCCTCGAATGTTTTGGATCGGCAGTTTCCAAGGAAGGTACGTTTGCACAAAAAGTTCTGGATAAATTTTAGGATGTGTCCCTTGAGTCCCCATTTCTTCAGCTGGTCAAGCACTCCCGGCATCCATGCCCGGTTGTATGCTTTGGATAGGTCGAGAGTGACCAGTTCTGCGTGAAGGTTTTTGGAAAATGTATCCGGGGATTTCAATGTCCCCGATCGAGTTGATGGTCGGGTGGTTTTTTCGACAAAACTCCTCGTCGTAACTGTCGATCGATGAAAGCGAAGCAAAGTAGTTCAAGATGGTGTCGACGATTTCAACCGGATACTGGCTTTGGTGGCCGCTTTAGTACTGGGAGACCACCAGTGCAAGGCTGTCTTACCTGGTGTCGCGCTTGTTCTTGGAATGGCATCGGTAGCAGCGTGGAACATCATCTCGATGAAGACAGTTATGGTGGTGTAGGTGTTTTGTCTGCAATACTACTTCGTGACATCCTGGCATAGCTAAATATTATCGGTTTTTGCGGAGCATTTGGCATTTGGGTTCACTACCATTCTGTTTAAACTGCACCAACTAGCAAATACATTCAGCTGATGTTGAAGAAAGTGGCAGTCAGCAATGGAGCGGATTCGTAGGGAGATTTTGAGGTCATCTGCATATGATAACCGAGGAGCTTTGATGACCAGATGCACGTCGTTGAAGTACAGTATAAAAATCAACGGTCCCATGTGACTTCCCTGAGGTATACCTGATGTGGCGAAGAAGATAGCTGATCTGTAATTTCCTATGGCAACCTTTAGTTGACGACCGGTAAGTGCCGAGTTTAGCAATCGCAATAGCACGGTTCAACTTGTCGAATGCTGTGGATAGGTCTGAATAAATAACGTCCGTTTGAACCCGATCCGACATGCTTTCGGTTATATACGATGTGAGACACAGCAGATTGGTGGTTGTAGAGCGGCCGACAGTAAACCCATGTTGATCAGCACTCAAATACTGCTTGCAATGGGAAACCAACGGTTCCATAATCACTAGCTCGAATAGCTTCGAAACGGCACTTAACGATGTAATTCCTCGATAGTTATCCACAGCTCGTTTCCTTCCGTTTTTGTGGACGGCAAACATGTACGCAAATTTCTAGCAGGATGGAAATATGCCACTGGAGAGAGACATGCGGAACAGGCGATGAAGCGGAATTAACAAGCTAGCAATATGTCTCTTCAAAAATACAGATGGAACTCCATCAGGTCCAGGATTGAAGGATGACTTGACCAGAGTCGCGGCCTTGGAAATCATCTCAACATTAACATCAATTGCACCCAGCGTTTGATCATTTACTATAACGTTCCTGGCAGCCAGGGTAATATGGTAGTCAGTTAGTATCACATTAGTGAATACACTGGCAAACTTGTCGGAAAAAAGGGGCCATATATCCTGAACGTTGGCAGCAAATTCTCCATTGAATTCCATAGACGATGGGAGGCCGGATTCCCAGCGTTGCTCGTTCACGTAGTTCCAACAGGATTTCGGGTGTAGCTGTTTGCGCCGGATGCCTCGTTGGAAAGCATTCACGACAGACTCGCTGGTACATGTGATTCAGCCTCGCATAATGTAGTTTCAGAGGAAGCGTGCGATACTTCGTAAATCTTCTCAATGCTGCTCTCTTGATTGACTTCAACCTACGTAGCTCTCTCGTCTGCCAGAGAGGGTGAGAAACTTTGTGGTGAGTTCTTGTCGGGACGTGTCTGTCAATGACATATGCCAAGACATGTGAAAAGGTTTGCGCTGCAGTCTCAACGTCATATGGATCAATGATGTTCTCCCATACCATGCTAGACAATACTTCTATGATCCTACGGTGATCAGTTTTACGGAAGTCATTAGAAACCATAGCAGGATAATCGTCGAAATAACGCACGACTTTGTCCTCAACAGTGACAATTAGAGGAGGGGCGGAGAGGTAGTTCATCGATTCTTCCGGTTCGCCTCCTAGCATCGTGCTATAAGGTACCAGGCGATAACCAGGGTAGTTGATCGATAGCTCGATGACGTCATTTCGTTGACGTCTGCAATGGGAAATTCTAATAGCAAGCGTTGACGATGGGACGTTATCGAGTTGTTGAATAGCAACTATCGTGGTAACTCACCGATTACCTGTCGATCTGCCAAATTTGGAAAGACGTCTGCATTAAATTGTCTCATATAATAATATTCCGCCCACTATATCACCAGAAATTGCGAGTAGCTGAGTGGAATGGAGATAAGTTAAGCATTGGGTACAGGACCAAGTCTCCCCTGGGTGGTGCCAAAAGATGAGCGCAATAGAATCATCAAGTTGCCATAAGGCACGGAATGAGACTATTGCATGGCTGGGTAGTCAAAGTCTTCCATTCGTTAGTCATTTCAGGTGGATTAGAACAGGTTTAGGTGGGCGTTGGCCAGATTTGGATTTTTCAGATGTAATCCTGGATAGGACCCTGTCATTGAACGTCGCGTGAAAGTGGAACTTAATGAAGGCCTAAGTACTTTTTCGTAGTTTTTAGTTTTCGGATTTGAAAGATCGTCGGTTACAGTGGCCTGCTTACTGAGCAGAAAAACGCTGTCCCAGGTCCTTACATATCAAAGAGATTTATGGTAAAATCGCTTGTGTATCGTGTAACTCGTTGTTGTCGTTGGTTCAGGGTTTGAATGGATACACAAATTTGAGCAACGGTATTATGTGATATGAGGGGCTCGGTGGCCTTAGAGCAACCGTTTTTGCTTACTGAGCAGAACATCATGAGTCTAATCTCAGGCCCATCCACATTCAAGATTCGTCAATCGTTTTATTTGTTAATATGACTACATGGTAATAACAGCAACTCGGTGATTAAAAAGGTGCTCGTCTGCCTAGTGGCAAACGTTTTTGCTTACTGAGCAGAAGACCGTGGGTTTAGTCCCAAGCTCCTTCGCGTTATATGATCGTTAGGACATCAATTCAGCTTATCGTTTACCAAAACGAACCCTGCTGCAAACCCAACCCTCTTATCCAACATCCCAGTGATTCCTCGTGGAAGTGCAGAGGTGTTCTCGGCTTCCATCAAAGCGAGTGTCATGTCAACACAATCCTTCCCATTCCTTTCTTGACCTGTGTTCGGGCGCGGCCGGCGCTAGTATTGCCTAATTTCAGATCACCAGTTTTTACACATTGAGGATGATTGCTAGTCCCAAGCATCGTCTATTGGTTCTCTGTGTAATTACAGCTGATCTGACAGTAACAGAGTAGCAACCGTGGGCGGTCAATCAAGCTCAAGCTCAACAGTGACAATTAGAGGAGGGTGATGTGGAACTACCTTAGTTAATGCACAAGGAGCCGAGGAAAATAGTGGAGCCCTGTCGTGAGTGCTCACGAAGCAGAGGTCCAAACTACGATCATTTTCGTGGTAAGAGTTCATTAAAATTAAGAGCTCATAGAAATTTATATAAATTTCCTAATTTTCTTTAAATACTTACTTCTCACCATCTTTTTCCCGAATGCTAGCTTCCGAAACTACGAGGCAGATCTCCTTTGAATTTCCCCTTCGGTTAACAACATAACTTGTTTCATTTTCCTCCTCGTCTGATTCTGTAAGCGAAGTGTTGTCACAGTTAAAGAATCAAATGTCCTAAATCATCACGGCTAATTACCTGACTCTTCTTGCACAACATTTGGATAGATATCGTTCAAATTCAATGAGTTCGTTGTATTTCCAACCGTCACATCGGACACCGATTGATAGTTGGAGTCCTCGTCGGGAATGACACTTTTGAATTCTGTATCGCTCGCAACTCCATCAGAACGACGACCCGTTTGAAACTTGATGGGTGATTCGCATGTTTCCATCAGTTTTGAACACTCTCGATCTACCGGTGTCGACGTCATCATGCTATCATCGTTGCTGTTGTCTAGCTTGCTGGTCACTCCTGCTTCTATCGGAGCCGTTTTCGGGATGGACGATGCGAATTCAGTAGACACATTTCCCTTCTTACTATCACTTTCGTAATGTAGTACACTTTCGTATTCTTTGTCCGTAGAAGGATCGATTCCGATGACATTCTTCAGCATGTCACCAGATTGGCTCTGCAGCCACTCGCTACCGTACTGGCGACGCAGACTTTCGATCTGCTTTTTCGTTTCTAAATGGTCACGACTGGTCTCTGCGGAGTGAAATTTAAAAAAAAACACATAAACCAAAATCCAAAACCACAATAAAAAAAAAAAAAAAAAACGAAATTTCCACAACTACAGCCAGGTTGCTTTTTTCTTCAAAGAATCAATGAAGGATAAAAGTCTAACGTTGAAAACCACATGGGCGTGTAATTGTTGTAAAAACTTTTCAAACTCACCTAAGCTATTTTCCGAAGCACTAGTTTCCCCCTTGGGAACCTGTGGCTGACTTTTTTCGTTTGAATCGTCTTCGCAAATGATTGCACGACGCACCTTGATTTTCTTCTGACTCATGGTTGAACTGCTCATTTCATCTGAAAAAAAGCCATGTTCGATATTAAGTACATGCTCAGGAACCTACAGTCGGCATACAGTAACGATCGATACCTCTCGAATCGAAACGGAAACTGCTTTTTGACGATAAGCTTCCAGTTGGTGTATTTATAGCACTTTTCCTGGTAGGAGTGTTAAGACCACTGGAAGAGACACTACCCGGAAGTCTCGGTGCCAATATAGCATGATAGCTGTCGTAGTTACCGGTAAGCGTTTTCTCGTATTTAGATAATGGTTCATCATCGAGCACAAATTTGGAGCTGGAAGTGTTTTTATTCAGATATCTGGCAGTTGCTTGCCTATGTTTTGGGTGGCATGCGAGTGGATTGTCTCTTAGGTTCAGAAAACATAACGATGATAGTGTGCTAACAGGCAACAAAGCCGTGTGATCTACGATGCAATTGCCGGAAACATCTAACTCACTCAGACACAACAAACGGGAAACACCAGAAAGATCTTCTATGAAATTGTTAGATATATAAAACACTTGAATCTTTTTCATCGCATCAACGTGAAACGACGGAATATGAGTCAACCGATTGTAGCTTAACTTTAACACTCGCAAATTCGGAAGCCACTTAATCGCCGATACACTTATAATTTGATTATGACTCAAATTTAAACTTTCTAGCCAGGGTGTAAATTCTAGAGAGCTATCGATATGGTCCAGCATGTTGTAAGAAAAATTGGCAGCTTTAAGCTCGTTCCACGTAAATCCATTGCTATTGTCACCACCGCAAGATGTTATTATTTCTTTCACATGTGATATACTTCGGATGCATATGACTTCACTGAGCTGGGACCTCATCTGTTGAATCCCCATTATCTGGCTAATTGGAATCTTCTGTATCTCCAATTTTCTAAGACTTCGAAACTTGCTAATGTCAACATCGAATTCGTATGGATCATCGTTGATAAATTGATTCAGGCTTAAAATTATCGTTTTCTGTACAAAATCATAGATAAACTGAATGTCCCGAAACACGTCCGATTTGGCATTGTGAGGTTTTACGACCTGAAAGCTTTGCGGCGGAAGAATCTCATTTTTATCCACTATCAAACTGAATGCGTCATTCAATGCACGCAGCAAAGATCCTAGAAAGAAAACCATTAAACGCTTAAGCGTAACTTTATACTATTATAATACATACGCGATAATTACCTGATAAAGACAACTTATACTCGCAGTTCAACACTTTATCGCCACTTTCCTTGAGGAGCTTTGCCAACGCAGTTATCTGTTTGGGATCCATTGTGACCTCGAAACTCTAGCTAATAATCTACGATTTTCAAAACGTACAACACCCTTGTTACTACTAAAGACTTCTATTGCATGGCTTGTATACTGCTGAAATTTATGTTGGAGAAGAAAACACGTAGAATGTTTTGTTTACTAAACTGATCAAACCAACTACGCAAGCAATAACAAAAACAATAATATTTTGCATATGTGTGCGTGTTAGCAACTCCGACCTTGTTATTGTTGCTGCAGCGGAAAAGAAAGCCAACAAAAGAAAATTTTCCAGCCTAGAAAAAAGACGAATTTTGGTACTCACATTTCACAGAACTATAAAACTCTATATTTAGACTTGGCACGGCCACTTTATGCAATAAATAAAACACTTTTAAGAACGAAAATCAGCTTATATTGAAACTAAAACCTCGAAATATTACATCTGCGTACGACCTTTGAAACCATCAAAAGTGAAAAATCTCACAGTAGTCACGGTTAAACGGGTGAAACAGCTGTCAGGCACATTAGCAGCGATGCCATATCCTGATTTTTGTTCCCGAAAAAGGTGGGAGCCCCTGTTTACACTATACACGCTCCTTCAATGTTCCTCAAAGTGAGTAAAAATATACTCTCTTTCGGTAAAAGAGGAACTACCAACAATCAATACGAAACTAACGATTTTAAATTGGCTCACCACTTTATTAGCCTATTGGTCCCAAGCAAACGATTAACGTACCCTATTCTAGTCGAAATTCTAGTACTACGCAATGTTTGTTTTGATTCGCTATGAAAGTTTGACAGATAAAATGAGGGGTTATTGGTTTTTCCTATGTTTCGAGGGGGGATTCGACAAGCTTGGGACCGAAGATCCATAGGTGAGCCAAAAAGTTGAGCACGTTTCTTCGGGACCTACTTGTCTTATGGCGGTAAGCTCCAACTCGGATTAACTTTTAATACCGTCCCTGTTTGGATGATCTGCGAATTGTTTGCATAGCATCGAGTTGAATAACTCTGATGTCGACATCAAAGCAGCCGGCCATTCTTGATCGGGATATAATCCGAGGATAATACCGATTGGAGCTTACAGCCATTAGACTTACCTCTATGGAACTACTACTCTAAACACTCAGAGATAAATTAAATCAAAAAAGCTTAAAAACTATGCAGATTCCCGCTTCACCTTATTGAGTCCGAGCCATGATTACTTCGGCAGTATAGTCATGCATGATTATACACGAATAGAAATCTCCTTATACCTTTTGGCAAATTTCTATTGCTGATTATTCATAAAATGTATAAGTCAACTAATAAGCAGACGCCTTGCAAAAAGTTAATGAAGCTCATGTGTCAAATGAAATGTATAAGCGGTCACACATACCTTTAATGCATTCTTATAGGACCTATGTGGGTTGTCTTATGGAATGTATAAGGCTGATGTTTTGGCAAATATGTATAAGTGAAACACATGAATGAAATAATTGATTTTCATTTCGTGTATTCGAAATAATCTTTCCAGTATTAAATATTATTCTTTTTCCATACTGATATATAATCAAAAAGGATTAAAATTTAATCAAAAATTATTAAAATAGAATCAAAAATGATTAAAATTTATTCAAAAGAGATAATCTTCAATCTAATCAACCATTATTAAACTGGGATTAATATCAGATGCTTAGTGTTTAGAAAGAGAGTATTAATTTTTTATCTTTCGATATGATTAAACTGAGTTTAATGCGAGGGGGCGACACATCTAAATCTCAAGTTTGGATGCTCAACAAATCTCACACTAGCGAATCAATCTTCGAAAAATCTTCTTTCATTTGTCGCATCTACTTGCATCGCTCATCATCTTTTTGCAGGAAATCTTCAGAATCGTTATCAATCTTCTTTCTATCTACTCAGCGTGTGCGCAGCTAGCCACAGCAAAACACAATCTTTTCTGCATCGTAGATAGAGTCGTCCCCCTCGGTTTAATGTCAAAATGATTAAATTTCAAGCAAAATGGGAATAGTTTAATTTATCAGTGAAGTGAGTAAACCTGTAGTTACTCATTTTTGAGTAATGCTAACATTTCTCGATGAACATTTCAAATGGTCCTATCTGCTTTGATCGATTCTCTTCATCGACTTTCTCTTTTCATAACCACTGCTATGCAAACAGGTTTCGCGCTAATTCTACCACATAGTTTGATAAAGGAGGTTCATATCTAGCGTCCGAAACGTCAAACACAACAGGGAAAGGTTTTGCAGTTGAGTTATTGACGAAAGAGAAAGTCGATGAAGAGAATCGATCAAAGCAGATAGGACCATTTGAAATGTTTATCTAGATTTGTCACAATCAGACTAACTGGTGCTCAGTTCTGATTTGCGGTAAAAAAGCATATCTGAGTAAGTATTACTCAGTCCATGTAAAATTTATCGTTTTTCAAAATGAGGAATAAATTGATTTGATATTGATAAAATACCAAAAATTAAAATGGTATTAAAATCAATTTTGTTAAAAGATAAAGGAAAAGATGTACAACCAAAATGTAATTAAAACATTGTGTCGACGACTTCTTATGCATGGACAGAAAATTCTAAAGCGAAAAAGATACGATCCACAAAATTAGATTTCGCTGGATCCTATCTGTTTACAGTTCAAAGCGAAGCGAAATATTTGCCAATTGCGTTTTTCACGCCGGTGAAAAATCGAGGGGGACGACTCTATCTACGATGCAGGAAAGATTGTGTTTTGCTGTGGCTAGCTGCGCGCACGCTGAGTAGATAGAAAGAAGATTGATGACGATTCTGAAGATTTCCTGCAAAAAGATGATTCGCGATGCAAGTAGATGCGAGAAATGAAAGATGATTTTTCGAAGATGTGAGATTTGCTAGTGTGAGATTTGTTGAGCATCTAGACTTGAAATTTAGCTGTGTCGCCCCCTCGTGAAAAATGTAGTATTTTGTATGAGATTTTCGCTTCGCTTCGATCTCTATACAGGCCTTAACCAACCGGTGAACACTCGTGTTTATTTCAGTTACCATGGAGACGTAATTTGTGATTAGCCCCGGTCCCTTTCAAATTGTATCATTATTTATAAACGACCTTATATTTGAAATGACGTTTCACATTCATCTAGTGATGTCCGATTTTCATTCGAATAATCGTTTAATCTAAAGAGCCTGAATTTATAAAGAGGTGACATCTTATCCATTTGACAGATCTTCTGCTCGATTGGAATGACTTTTCTTATGACTTTGACAGATAATCGATTGTTCCAATTTTGACATGTCGTCTCTTTATAAATTCAGGCTCTTTAGTTTAATCGATTAACGAACCGAAAAGTAAACTATTTATAATCGGTTAGATCATGCCGATATACACACAAAGAACAAAAATTGTTGCTATAAAAATAATGCATAATCAAATTAAAAGTTTCCCAAAATTCGTAGTTTCAACTATGAAAGTTTTCAAAATTAAACTTATATTTTTGGTTTAAAAATGTTTCTTTCACTTTCGACTTGTAATTTTAAAAGTGATTTTTTTTAAATAAAAGTTGTAAAACTGTCAAAATACCTCTTCATTGCGTAGTTTTTGACAGTACTGGACTTCCGTTTCCCGCTAAATTTGACATGGGAAATAAAAAATAAAACAAAACCAGCTGTGAGAACTTGCAGGAGTAGCAGCAGTGTATTCTATTTTTTCATATATTTCATCCGCCGGCACGATAGTTTCCCTTCTTTACGATACGAATAATAATATGGAGGCACCCGCGGGGACACTACCGAGTGGAAGGATACTCCAGTTGCCGGATTTGGAGGTAAGTTGATGAAATTTTTGAAGACTTTCGATCTTGCTTCCGATTTGACTAATTGATGTGTTTTGATCTTCAGCAGCCTCGTCAGTCTTGCCGGAAAGGAAAGCTACTCCCATCAACCATCACCATTAAGCAGGAACTTTTCTTCAAGCACGTCTCCACACCGAGCCCATCAGGAAGTAATTATTCAGATATCAATTGTACCATTAGTGTAAAATACTTCCAATGGAAGATTCCATAATGCAGTGGCCTTTCAGTGATGACTGAAAATTTTAATAAACTCAAATGAATTAAATAAAATATGTATGTGTTTCATTTTTCTCAAGCAATAAATAATATTTGAGATGAAAACGTACACCATTGCGATAAAAATGCCCATCTTTTAAATTAAAACCTTTAATGAGTAAATTTAAAAACCATAGGCTATTAGATTGACAGTTCTACAATTCGTATTGAAAGTTTCAACTTTTAAAATTAAAGAATGAGCTACTTTTGAATTGACATTTGGCCGACTTTTGTTTTGAATGCAAAAGACTTTCTACCAAAAAGAACCAACGCAAACTTTTAATTCTATCAATGGTTTTTTTAATTTTATTAACGATAATTTTTTGTGTGTAAGCATAAACATCTCCACAGGATCATCACCGATCGTTTCAAACTTGTGCTGCACTCTCATTGGTGGAAAAATGGCAGCACAGCGAACAAAAAATAATCGATTAGTTGTTAATCGAGTAATTAAAAAATGGGACATCTCTAATTTTGGTGTGATTGTTTTGATAAAAATGAGCGCAAAATTTCATCTCTTCCGAGGGAGCAGCAAAACCACAAAATTACCTTGAATACGGGGGGTTCTCATTGGATGAAAGGGACCGTGAAAGAAGACACTAAAATAGAAAGTTTTTCTTCCGACAGTTTCATCTTAGTATTCATCTTTGCCTTAACAGTGAATTTCGGGAAATAAGACTTGAGGAATGTAAGTTTGCTGCAGTTGCTTAATATAAACAGTTTTTCTTTATTTTTTCCTTGATTTTTTTCCGTCGATCTTGTTTTCCATACTGAGTACCAATGCTCCCGACGCCAGGAAGGCAGCTCCATCGCCTGGACCCTATGGTGTATACCACCCTTAAAACGATAAGCTAACGATTATGTGTAGCACTCAAATAATGAATGTTTGTATTAGAGCATTTCCAGCCCAAAACGCAAACCGGTTGGTCATGAGTGTTTCCGATTTGAATGAAACATTTCTCACGTGTTCGCTGCTACTAATGGTTGCATTTTTAATTTAAATATGATTTTTTCCTCCAGAGTAACTTTTGAAAAGGGCGTATAAAAAAATGGATTATTTTTTTTTTCAAAAAATCATAACTTGAAAACTATTGATCTGATCAAAATGACATATCAGAAGAAGTTTTAGGTAGTTAAATTATCTTTGCGAAAAAAAAAACACTGAAAGAAAAACTTAGTAAATTAGTATTTAAAAAACGTAAAACGGTGGTTATCTCAAAACACCCTCCCTTCGATCTTCATAATTTTTTTTTTTCAAGAAAACTGAACAAATGCCCTAATATTTGGTGAAAAGTGTATGCTGGTAACTTTCTTAAAAAAAAATCTATAATTTTTGAAATTTTTGTTGGTTTTTACAAGTTGGTGAAATTGCATATTTTTTA